ATATATTTAAGTTAAAACCTATTATTTTTACTTTGTCTTAAATACTTATCCCATGTCAACAACCTTAACTTGTTTTGTTTATAACACTTTTATTAAAATATATCCTGTCGTCCTCTCCCTTATTTGCATGATTTTATTGGTTATAACCAAAGTCTTCATCACGAGTAGTAAAAATAAAAAAAGAACTAAATAAAAACCAATAAATTAAGTGTTAATAGAATTTGTGTTTATTCTTCCTGGTTCAGGGGAGGCTAATCCTACCCCTAGACCTTCTTCTAGTAGCTCAACCGCATAGTTCTGTTGTGGTTTCCGCAATGTTCCATAACGTCCATCATGTTCTTAACGACTTATTTTTTACTTATTTTATGATATTAATTTCATTTTTTTAATTCTTTAACCAGTTTAATACCTTCTGTGTTTGCTAATTAATTTATTGAAATTACAACTACAATTATTTTGACATCCTTTAATTTCTCTATTTTCATAAGCATATTTTTTAATTCCTTATACATATTTCAAAAGAAGAAAAGAAAGAAGAAGAATAACAAATAGAAAAAGAATTAATCAAAGATGAATTTTTTAGAGAGAAGAAGAAGGTCACAGTCGATGTAAGAGACTTTAGAGTTTAAGAGGATGTTTTGGATAAAAGGGTGATATAAGATTGATTTGTGGATTATAAAGAATAAGTTATTTCGAGCGCGAGTAAGAGCGACGTTGAGACGTTTTGGGGATTCTAAAAAGGAAGAGTGTTTATTTCTGACGAAAGAGAGGAGAATGATATCTTTTTCAGCGCCTTGGAAAGCGTCAATAGTAGCTACAGTGATTTGTGGAAGAGAAATAGAAGATGCGAGATAAGCACATTGTTGTTTATAAAAAGAAATGACACCGATACGATCAGATGGAATAAGAAGATGAGATAAAATAGAAATGATTTGATTTACAACACGAATTTCGAAAAGAGAATAATAACTAGAAGCAAGAGAAAACTCATCATTAGTGTCATGATAACAAATTATGATTTCATTAGCATCAGGAATAAGAGAAAGTTGATTATAAACATTAGGAGCATTTTGTAAAAGACCATTATAATAAAGTCTATTTACAATATTACTAATAGGAGGACAACACCTATATTGAAGATTTAATAAAATTGGAGAATTTAAAGAATAAAGTCTTTGAAAAAGAGAAGCAGAAAGATGAACTGATTGAAGAACAGGATCAAGTTGCATAGGATCACCAACACAAACAATACATTTTGGATTAAATCTAAGAATAGGAATAAGAGACATAGGTTCAATAGTTTGAGTAGCTTCATCAAAAAGAATAATATCATAAGAATGATTAAGAAGAGGATTTGTAGAAGAAGCACAAGTGACACCAACAATAGAAGCTAATTTAATTTCACGAGACCTTTTTTCAAAATTACCAGTTTTTCTTTCATTAATTTCATTTTCAATAATTATTTTTTCAATATTTGATAATAATTTTTCTTTTTTTAATTCTTTAAGATCATTTAATCCATCATCATTTTCAGAAATAGTATAAGGTAAAATTTGTTTACTAATTTTTTTTAATGAACCAACACGAAAAAATGATTTATAGTTTTTTGTTAATAAACTTTCAAGAACTCTATCAACTGCAACATTTGTTGATGCACAAATTAATACTTTATAATTTAATGATGCTAATAAAATACATAATACTGAAAGAAGATGTGATTTTCCTGAACCAAAAACTCCATGAACAAGAGTTATTGGTGGTTTATTTTCTTGAAGAGATTGAATAACTTCTTTAATAACTTTAATTTGTTGATTATTTAATTTATATTCATTAATTATTTTAATATCTGGTATTATTTGTTTCTTTAATGGTGTAAATTTATGAAAAATTAAATATTCTATAAGATTAGAAAATAAATATTTAGGTGTAATTGATAATTGAACTAATGTTTGAAGCATTAATACTTCTGTTGATCCTGAAAATCCATGTAATCCAATACAATTTATTTTTTGAAATTTTAATGGTTTTGATGTAATAAATTCAATTCTAATAATTCCATCTTTAGTTGGTCCATGATATAATGTTGTTATAATATAAATTTTGAATTAAATGAATATGGATATTCTTGAGGTAATAATATCCATAAATCATCTTTTTTAATTCTCTAATTTAATTATTTCTTTTGATTTTTTTATATTAATTCTTTATATATATTATATATATTATATATTATATATATTAATTAACAAACTTAACTTTCCTTAAATCATTAATTTTCATAAAATACATTGTTTTTAAAGCTTCTGGATCTTCTGGTGTTGGTGTTAATTTTTTACTTTGAAAAATTTCAATATCAAGAAAAATAATAATTCCTTCTTCTTCAAATTTTTTTATTTTTAATTCTTTCATATTAATTTTATGATTAAATGTTTCTGATAATTTATATTTTACTTCTTTTTCTTTTATTTCTTTTTTATCTTTTTCAATTCCTTTACTTTGTTGTTCTGAATAATAATATCCTTTTCTTTTATTTATTCCTTCTTTATGACTAATTTGTTTTATTGGATTTTCTTGTGAATAAATATTTATTCTTTCTTTATTTCTCATTTCATTAATTTGTGTATCAACTATTGTATAAAATGTTTTTCCTATTTCTGCTAATTTATAATTTATTTCATTAACTACAATATTATTCATATCAGTAACATATTTTCCAATATCATTATATATTCCTTGACTTGTTTCTTTATTTCTTTTAATTTTTTCTATTTTTTCTTCACTATCATTAAGACTTGTAGGAAATTCAATTTTTTCCATAATTTTTGGTACTTTAAATCCTTTACTTCCTATTTCTTTTTTAATACAATCTCTTTCTTTATTTATTTTCTTATCTTGTTTTTGTTTTTGTTTTATTTCTTCTCTTTTATTTATTTCTTTTATATATCATATCTATAT